GTACAATGAACCTGAACAGTGAACTCAGTAACTGTGTATGTAACAAGTGATTTGGATGAATTTTGTGCAGATTATTTACTGTTTAGGGAACTTTTTATACAATTATCTCTGTATTATGATTTTCTATATTTTTTTAACAATCATACAGACTTATAGGCTCCTTTTTTGACAAATTCATTGTGCTTGGCCATTGTTCTATTAGACAATCTACCTAACAATTTACATTTACATTATTCAAATGCTGAGATTTAGGCCTACTATAAATATTTTTTAAGTTTTCTTACACATCTTAAAATCAATTAATTAACCATTAAGCTTTGGCAAACAATTCTGGGGGTCCTGACCCCCAGGTTGGGAACCACTGAGTAAATGTAGCAATACCACTCTGTAAAGGTCTTTAATTAAAATTTGACTTCAGTAAAAGTACAGAAATATTATCAGCAAAATGTACTATTCAGTCCCAAAATTAAATTAAATTATACATAATTTATAGTTGAATTTCCTAATGTAATTCACATGCTCATTGTAGTTTTTTTTTTAAAGCTTAACCTCAGAAGTAACAGTAACTATGGCTGCCAGATAAATGTTGTGGAGTAAAAAGAGTCAATCAATCAGTCAATCAATCAATCAACCTACAAGCAATCTTCTCCTCTTTGCTCAGTTGGCCCCAGGGTCCTTTCTCCTTCTGCTTCAGGCTCTTGTCAGCAGCAGTCAGGACATCTTTGTAGGCTCTGTCAGGCAGGGGGGTGTCCAGACGATCCGAGTATAGTGGCTGAGACATGTCCACACTCCCTGACACCTCTGGATGCACAGAGACAGGAAGGCTGGCTTTAGGAACCAAATGTTCTAACAATGTACAGTCAAGATTTTTGTTTTTTAAACCCTGGCTTAGAAAATAGTCTCTCTTATTTCTCTCTTTCACTTCAAACACAATAGTTGTCCGTATATATGGCTGTGTCATGACAGTAAAGCAGCGCCATCTGCTGGTTTGAGGCCTCTTCTGCTACATTGGCCTTTAAATAATGGATACATATAATAACATATATAAGGTACAATAAATAGAAACATTGAGAATGATTTAGTGTGGAGATATTTCTTATTTTGTATCAGGGACCTTTGTTTGATCTCTCTCCTTATTTCCTGTCTTCTCTTTATAAAATAAAAGCATCAAATATCTAAAAATACTTCTAAATACTGATATGTATTAATAGATCCTTTTTATTTTTATACTATGATTTTTCATTAATACACCTGTAACATTACTATTAGACAACAAGTCACCTTATTGTTATAATATTACTACAATCATCCCATAATATCTGAATTCATGATTTAGGCAGATGTGTGATGATTATGGAATGTAGTAGCCTAATAGCATAACAATAAGTTGATTTTAATAATATCATCTTATTATTTACCTGAAAAACTTACTTGGAAGCTACAGTGGAAGACCCCTCTCATCAGCCTATTTAAAGGACACACCACATGATACAGCTTCTGATGAAACAACACTTAATTTAATTTGATTAATTAATATACTTTTTTGATGTATTGATGATGATGTATTTAGGTTTTATTCTTTTTTTCTTTCTTTTTTCCTTTTTCTTTTATTGTCATCATTTAATCTTATTCAATTATTTCTGTATTTTAGATTTATTTTTCCCTTTTTGGGGTTATGCTGCATGTCTGTCCAGGATGGGGGTCTGTTGTGCTCTTCTTTATTTAAACTCAAGAAGAGGAATTTAAAAAAACTAAAATACCATCTTAAGGGTTTCATGCTGTCAAACGTTGCTGTGTTCTTCAGGTTTGTAGGCTACCAGTTTCAGCAAACATCCTCATGAACAATGTCCAGGTGTACAGATGATACACCAGGTTGAGTCCCAGCACACAAAAAATGGCCAATAAGCATCGACCACACATTGACACGTGTCAGTGCTCTACAGACGTCACAGAGATGTACAACAGTTTCTGCTATTAACATTTATGACCTTCTCTGTATCCATGGGGTCGTTTTGTCACTTTTTTAGGTAAGAACTGCTTACAAAATAAAGCATTTTAAATACTATGGTAAAGCGTTCACAGTAGAAATATCGCCAAAATACCAAAGTTGGTGTAACACCAGTTAGCTACACTCAGCCATTAGCTAGCTAACTCTGGCCCCAGTTCTCCAGAGAAGACCGACTTTACTCGTGTCCGCAACGTTAAATGGCGGACATGAAAAACACTTTGGTGTCATGGTACCGTGACCGTGGCTCGCCATCCTCGCGCTGCTGGTGGTCAAGGCCGCTGTCGCGCGCCTGCCCACGAGGCTTCCCAGGCGCCCTGCAGTCAGACGGAGCATCTGTAAACAGTTCAGCAGAGACATGGCTGTATGTAAAGTTCATTACATATTTCAACAGCACAGGCACTGCTTTGACATAACCCCCTGTACGCGTCTTAAAAGCTAATAAACAATACAGGTACAAAAATATTATAATTTCCTGTCAGATATTTTTCTTCTATGTTAGGGTTTAGTCATTGACAGGTGTTTGTAGAACTACATTACTGCTACATTTAATTATGTCATTAAACTGAGCTGCTGCAGTGTGTGTAGCTCAGTGACTCCCATTCAGGGGTACTTATATACCCCAATGATGTATGTGGAGAGATTGTAAAGCAGCTCAACTAATTTGACTAAATTGGGTTAATGGTTGGATTAAAAAAAAAAAAATACATGACATATTGAGTACCCTGTAACAAATTCATTCATGTATTCTTTCAGTTTTCGGTCAGTGAAAATAGTTAGCTGAAAGTAGTGGACAAACTGTTGAAATAGATCACAAAGTAAGATAAATGGTTGGAACGTCCAGCTATTG